ATACCCACCCACATCCCACTTATCCACACACCAACAGCCCCCCATAAACTTAGACCCACCCTTCCATGTCCCTCACCGTCCTCCCCCACAATACAGGGTCTTCATAAAGTCCTTGTGCACTTTTAAACTTTAATAGCTTGGGTTGTAGATATGATAGAAACAATCCGTAAATGGCATTTAAAAGCAAGTTTATTAAAGTTTCAGGAAAACTAGAGTACACAATGCTAGACTTCAACATAACCGCCATCCATCATGATACAGTGCTCAATCCAATCTTCCAACTCCTTGAAAATGTTTCCTAGTTGCTCTTCAGTTACTGCACTAATTGCATTGGTGATCCTAGCCCTAAGTTCCACCAAAGAACGTGGTTTTGACAAGTAAACTACCATTTGAATATGTCCCCATAAAAAGAAGTCCAACGACAGGTCCACCTCTGCCTATCCACTTCTCTGGGAAAACATCATTTAGAAACTGTTGTACATTCAGAGTGTAGTGGCACAGAGCTCCATCTTATTTAAGAATAAATTCGTTATTACTTATGAAGTCTAGCACTGTGTACTCTAGTTGTCCTAAAACTTTAATAAATTTGCTTTTAAGTGCCGTTTACAGATTGTTTCTATCATACGTACAACTTACGTTATTAAAATGTAGAAGTGCACAAGGATTTTATGAAGACACTGTATACAAGAGTAAGACTTCATTTTAAGCTATTGTGCAATCACCTCTGTGTACGCTACACAAATACAGGTAAATCAGGACAAAAATAGTTTTTTAAATCAAATTAGTGAATGTTGTAGTGTAGAGACTCAAGCCTAAATCATATAACAAGTGAAAATCACCTTTTCAAACCACATCTTCTCATGAAACAAGAGGGGAAAAATTGGAGGAAGGCAGTCTGTCTCCTTGTATTGACCCAGAACGCAAACACTGAGGTAAACACCATGTTTCTCTGGCAAGAACACACCAGGGCATGTGACCTTATGAAAGAAAGAAAACAACCATGGTTATCTGAATTCTCCTGGTCGCACCTCCCCACACTGTGTCATCAATATGCATCAAGCACAATCTGCAAGAATCGCTGCTACAGCTGAGAGGGTAGCTCAGTATCTATGCCACTGACTTCCCTATGGAAGAAGTCAACAAGAGTCTCTCTATCACAGTCTCTGGGAAGTGTGATAGCGAGCACAGCATCCCCACTCTGAGCATAAGACACCCCAAAATGGATGTAATACAGCTGCCTTATGACAGGAGTGAGCACACCTAAAACATCAAGATTACTGGCATGCATGCCCAGAGCATCTCTTTTGGAGTCCAGCATGTGCAGAGAAGGCATCCCCAACACTCCCCAGAACAGCCCAGAGGCAGTGTAGATGTGTCCTTAGAACCCAGTTCCACCTTCAGTTACATTAATAGAAATTACAGTTGTGTAGAGAAAGGCAGATCTGGGCTTCTGGAATAAGATATGCCAAAGTCCCTCTATGAATTCAGAATCAGAAGTTCCCACAAGACTTTAAATGCAACTTGTGCTCCTAAGTTACCATGACACTTCTGAATCCCGCATCTTTGGCATGTATTCTAACTGGAACACATTTGCATCATTTTTTCATTCTTAGCATGTTGCATCATTTTAATAGTCAGGGGGCATGTCTATACATGCAATTAATACAACACAATTAACTCCAACACCTATCATGCCGGAGTTTATTGCTCCTGGGCAACACATTTACACACGTGCCCAGGATCACAGCACATTGAGCAGGGTCGCAGCAGCCCCAGCTGGCAAAGACCCTGGGGGTCAGCCTGTGAGCTGAGGGCTGGTCCACCCCAGCTCAGCATGCTGTGGAGGGGCTGGGTGGGGCACAAGGGTGCTTCCATGCAGGGCTAGTCAGCAGGCAGCCCCCGCACTGAAGCATCCTTGTGTCCCAGCCAGTCCCATCAGCATCTACACATGTGTTGCTGCAAACTAAAGAAGTCTGCCATAGGATAATACTTCTTTTTACAAGTACTAACCTACTGCAGTTTTAATTAGCTTACTCCAGCTTAATACGGCTGCACATGTAGATAAAGAGACTTTACTGCAGAGCTAGTTACTTTAGGCACCTATGCAATAAATGTCTTGTGTAGAGTGCCCAGGGTTGCCTGCCTGTTTTCTTTCATCAGCAGTGTTGTACCAGAAAGACTATGAAGCTGAAAACCCTTGAGAATGGATCTTTCTCCATGAGTTCGGATTCATAAAATTAAAAACAATATACCTGTTATAACTGCAGATTATGGCATGGCATGGCATGACATGACTACTCTACACCTTTTGAATTTGTCTTAAAATACGTTCCAGAGATAAAGGCAGTGTGATTTAAAATATACACAGCTGCAACAACTGCTATCTATGTAGTTCTTGCATTGTTTTCAGAGTCCTTCAACCAAATACTAATTCATTTGTTTGATTCTTGGTATTATTTTCCTCTGTCAACTAATGTATTCCATCACTAATACACTATACTGCTGATAAACAGATACAATACATAAATAAGCTCCAATCCTCCAATCCCTGACTCCGGCAAAATTGCTTTGGAAATCAAGGAAGTATTGCAGGATGACGCCTCAACGTGTTTTCTTTCGGTTTGTTCCTTTACTTCAGAAATTTTGAATGAGGGGTCTATTCCATATGTTTATCTATGTGGCAATCTGTTCCCCAACAATTGTATTCATGCAACCAGGCAGATTTCTTGGATATTAGCCTTTTACTTAACGGACACTTAAATATTATATCTGAAGGAGATGACTGGAAGGCTAGCAGCTAAAAGAAACTTTTTTTAAAAGAGCTATTTCTCCATCTACTGGCAAGACCTATCAAAGTGCTACAGGTTACTATAATCTCTTCTGAGTAGACTCTGAACAGCCACAATAATCCTCCAAAAGACAAATGCACAATTAGAGGAGTCCTGACATTTGTTTAACCCACTGATTGTCAACCTTATTCACCACAAGGCACCTCTTGGAAAAGTCCAGCTTTTCCTTTCCAATCATTTTTTTGTCTTCAGAAAAGTAGCAGAGAAATTCTTCCGTTGCAAAGAACACAGCCCACAACAGGTCAGCATGATTCCAGTTTGAAATCTCAGGGTTTATTTTGTGAATCACATATAGATGCTTGCACACCTCCCAGTGCTAATATTGCAAAGCACCCTGCCACAACCTTAACAACTCACAGCGCCTTGGTTGAGGATCACTGAACTAATGCAATGCTTGATCCTGATAGGTTAAATCAGCAATTCTTCCATTCTCACACAGACCTCCTTAGCTGCCATACACTTGGCTTTCCACACTTGCCCCCTAAGACAGACACCCTGGCAATCTTCAAAAAGCATCCTGACACCCATCTTCCTGGGGTCATCAGATCCCAGCAGTCTTTCCAGCCCAAGTGCAGGGGGACTGGACCCAATGATCTGTAAGATCCATTCCAGCCCCTAAACAACTACGAAACTATGAAACACATTGTGTACCCCTGTAACCAAAACACACCTTCGCAGTCTTATGGCAGATGAACTAAACCCATGGAAAAAAAACAAGGCAGTGGTGTATGGCTGCACCCTGTGTAGGGTAATTTCATCCCTTGCTGTGAGGGCATTTGGGGGACACTTATAGCCTCCCTTCGCAGAGCAGAGAGGCAATAACACCCAGGCAGCTGTAACGCGGAAAACAGCTTCAGCCGCGGGGATTTCAGAGCAGCAGAACAGTGCAGGTCAGCGGGCTCTGCTAGGAAAGCTCAAACCTCAAGCAGCATCACTCCCCACGCCCTGCCCTGCCCCTCACCGCGTGGATCTGCAGCTCCACCACCACCTTCAGAGGCATCTCGCCCCGGGGTCGGGCGCCGGGGGTGGGAGGACCCCGGAGCCTCCGCAGGGGAGGCAGAGAGGAGGATTTGCCCGGCTCAGCGCCGGCGGGCCCTGGGCTGCTCTTCCCTGGATAGTAGGGGGGAGGGGAAGCGTCGCGTTGCCATGGAAACGCAAAGGTTGCAACGTTCCATCTTTAGAACTCGCAGACAGGGGCCGGGCGCCCCCTGCGGGCCTGTGGCACCCAGCTCTGCGCCTGCCCGGACACGGCCAGCGGGCTGCTGGGAGACGGGTGCGGGCAGGGAAAGAAATCTTCCCTGCCTTACTCCATGCGGTCTGGGGTGGGGGGTCAGTGCGTGCGCTTGCAAGGCTGCCTGCACAGGTGACTTCTCCATGCCATGTGCGTGCACACGAGTGTGTGCGTATGGGGGGGGGGGGGGGGATTTGTAACATGCGTCTTGAAGAT